TGGGCAGCAGAGGGCTGGGTCCTTCTGGAAGTTGGGGCTGCGGGCGCCACTGACGTGATAGAAATACTCAGAAGCAAAAGCTTTCCTGGAAAGGGCAGAGCCTTGTTCGACGTCTCAGCTGGAAATTGCAGGTTTAACTAGTTATGTGCTGGCTGTTGCTGTGTGTTGGAGACTGAGTGGCTCAGGCCAGGGGCAGTGTGCTCTGTGCCCTCGCTGTTCTCAGTGCGAGCTCTTAGGCTGGCACCGACCCTGGGATGCTTCCACCTGCTCTGGGTTTGCTCTGTTTGGTGTTTGTATCTTCAAGAACTTAGAAGCCTGTGCATCCATCTCAGCCTCAGCTCTTTTCTTTGATCTGTAAAGTATAAGCAAAAGGTGTAGAAGCGGCATGGCTTGTGGCTGGCCTTTGACCTGAGGCACGTGAATCCCTGACTGACCCACACATTGCTTCCATTCCCCACTGATTTTATGGTATCGAGCTACATTTCTGAAGTTTGTCACCTAAAGCAAAGTTCACTGGCACATAGTAGTGGAGCAGACTGGATGCAGTTCAAAAGTGGGAAGCTCAGTGCTGGTAGCCTCCCCTCTCACTCATGTGCTGGGTTTTGAAGCAAGCATCCCGCCTGCACTGCCAGCAACTGGGTTAAAGAGTTACGCAGTGTAATCCCTGCCTCTCCAGCCACAATTGATTGCTGAGGGAACTCGGAAGGTGGAAAAATCCTTTGTGTGTTTCAGCACTGCAGCGTTGCTCTTGTGGGACCTGGGGAGGAGCAGAGGAGGGTCTCGTCGGGGAGCAGGGTCAGCGTGGCCACCTTGGCATCAGCCTCATGAGCCCTGGTTCCTGGGCTCTGGTGTTCCCACTGCTGTGTGTGGCTTGCAGAGCACCTGTGTGGGCAGGCACTGGCTGTGTCTGAGGGCATCTCTCAGTACCTGGAGCTGTGGGCAGGCTGCCAGTGGGCTCCTTGCTGCAGAAACCCACCCCGAGCTGTGCCAGGCACCCAGGCTCAGGTGCTGGGCTGTGTGCCAGATGAGAGGGCTGGTGGCTGCTGCTGTCTTCCCCCAGCCTAGAAACTGTTGAGATTACTCTGTCCTGAGTGCAGAAACACAAAAGCATGCGCAGTTGGGGTTCCTGTAATGATTTCTGGTGGGGGCAGTTTTGGGTTGTTACCTTTCCTATCAGTTGGTGTGAGATCAGAGACAGCCATTGTGTGCAGTGTTTCTTGGATTATTTTTATTCCTACAAGTCTTCACTGCCTTCGAACAAGTTTCTCACATACAAGTTTAGCAGTGCTTCTAGGTACCATAAAATGCCTTTCAACATTGCCTTGCCCAAATCTGTTTTCTCCTAGCTCAGTCCCTCCATCCCTGAGCATCCCAGCCACCCCTGCTTTCAGACACATATTCCATTAGAGCAGCAGAGAATGCAGGTGTTAATGGAAAACTGCTGTGGAGGCAAGCGTAGCTGCGCATTAGCAACAAGGTCAGGAGGCTGATTCTTAATCTGGGGATCTGCTATCGCTGTCTGTTGCCCAACCTTGGAGGTTCACTGGTGTTTTGGAAAGGACTGAATTGCTGGCAGTTGGGGTTTTTAATATGAAGCTCTGACAGGCTTGTGGGGACAGTCGGAGGAAAGTTGTGCAAGAGAAATCTGATCACTGCTACAAGGTTAAGAGGAAAGGAGTGTGATAACACAGCATCTGTATGGCAGGATGAGGGATGGGAACCCGAGGGGATCATGTTCATGGCGGTTCTGTCAGTGGGATAATTGCTGAGCTCCCACTGGAAGCTCTCTGCTCTGCCTGAGCAGCCTTGCTCCTGGGTTTCCCAGCTGAAAAGTGGAAGTAAGTAGGTCAGGAACACGGACTGAGATAAATCCACCTGCAGACTCAGAACTGTCTCATGCACAGTAAAACCAGCACCGTGTTGCAGAGTCTTGTGTTTACCTTCATTGTCTGTACATGACTAAACTTGGCAGCACACCCCTCTCCTGGTGCAGCTTCCCAGCACTTGTTTTACTCTCCTGCATTGTGCTCCATTGGCTGTGCTGGAAAGTTGTTATTTCTAGAAGCTTTACAGGTCTGAAGTTCATGCATTTTTTAGTTGCATTTGAGAAGCAATGCTAGTCCTTGGGGCAGTGCTTGGACAGCTTGCCAAAGATGAAAACCAGTGCGTGGTTCCTCCTGTGGTGGCAGTGGCTGTCACTTCTGGCAGTAGATCAGGTTTTTGCCATAGTATCAAGGCTGTTTTGGGATTAGCTTTTGGTTGGCATGTTTTTCTAAAAAAGCATTTCCTTAGTTTGGCTTTCACTTGGTGAAAAGAGAAAGTCTCCACTACAAGCTGTTGAAGAGGCTGCAGGCTCAGAGAAGTTGTATGTGGTTATGTCCAATTACATAAAACTGCAGGATCATGAATCTTGCCCAGGGCTCCAGTGGGTCAGATTGGCCTGAGACCAGCCCTGCTTCCTAGGCTCCCCACTAGCCAGCCTCCTGCCCTTGGGGCTGGATGGGACTGGGAATGGTACCGTGAATCCTGACTCTTAGCAAGCTGCACTGTGCCTTGGGTGCTCTGTCTCTGCTGTTGGTGTCCCTGGAGCCTGCAGAGTCTCCGCAACCTGGAGGCTCAGCTGCAGGTTGGGCTGGGGCTGGGGTGGGCTGTGCTGCCAGCTCGGGCCAGGGCACTGTGCAGAGTAGGGTGGGACCACTCCATGTCCCCCCGGCAGAGGGGTTCCTCTAGGTTCCTCCAGCTTTCCTGGGCTGCTGTTGGGAGCACACTCTTGCAGAGCTGCGGGGAGCAGCCACCTATCCTGTCCCCAGAGCCGCGTGTGGCCCGAGTGGGGCCGGATGGAGGCTGCAGTGGGCACAGCTGCACACAGGGCATGGGAAGGCAGCCCGAGCTGCTGAGGACATCACAGCTGTCAGATCCCCCTGCAAACCCTACCCATAGAACAACAGGTTAGTTCCCTGCTCTTGCTGTCCCAGTAGCTTTCTGAAACTGAGGTATGTGCAAGAGTAAGGCACAGGGACTTGGAGAATTATCAGCTGGTTCTTGTTTTCTGTCTGAAATACAATTCCTTCCTTCGGCTTTCTTGAAATTTGAGAAACGTGCTCTTCCTGACACCATTAATGTTTTTGTTGGTGGTAATCTTTGCACTTTGCATTAGTCCTGCTCTTTGTGCCTGATTTCTGTGGCATTTGAATTGCATGTTATTGTAGCAGGGTCATCCAGACTGCCAGTTTCAAGAATAGGTTCCTGAAGAGTTTTGGCCAGATAGAAAATTAACAAATGGGTTTAAATGTAGTTCCCAGATGTGGTGAGTGCAGGGTGGGTAGCTCAGGGTGCCAGACACAATGTACCAGGCATTTCAATACCTGTAAGTGCCTGAGCCAGCAGCTGTGGGACCCTGTGGATGTCCAGGGGCTTGGCTCTGCTGAGAGCCCTGCAGGCTGCAGCCTCACCGTGCTCTGCTCTCTCTCTGAGCCAGTGCCAGTGGTGTGAAACTGCTGAAAAATGAACACAGAGCTTGTACCTCTGCCCGCAGATGTCTTAGAACCAATTTGAGTTTAATGATAGCAGCTCTAATGTTTCACTCTGGGCTCTTATTGGAAGAAGTGCTTATTGTACCTAAAGTGGGAAGTGCCTTGGAAGCTGTTGTTTCCACAGGGAGGCACCTTCTCATGTCTCCCACCTCCCCTGACAGGATGTCCTGCAGAAATGTTTTCATTAGGGCCATCTCTAGAGCTAATGCCTATTCATTTAGTCCATTTATTTGGATTCATTAAACTGTTTATTTAGTTTCATTTATTATTCAGCTAAAATTTAATTTGCATTTGCTGTACTGACACCAGCCCTCACAGGTTAGAGCTAAAACATACATGCTGCTGTGAGCTTGCTTTGGCTGGAGTAGAAGAAATGCAGCTCAGCTGCATGAGACCTGACCAAGTACTTCGAGGAGATTCCTCCTCTTCCTAGAGGTCTCTTGGTAAGGAGGAAGAATTGAAGCTATCAGTACATCAGTACATCTGAAGTCCTTCAAAAATTAAAGATCACAAGGAAAGCACGATGTTTATGTGATCTGAAAGTTGATGCTGGCTCCTGGGACTGAAGGGTACCCAGTTGTGAGGCTGCAGAGCTCCACAGCCTGTCCTGTGCCGAAGGAGCAATGCCTGGATGGTGCCGCGGCTGTGGCACGGCCACGCTGGAGGCGAGCAGTGGCCTGCCTGGCCACAGCCTCCCCCGGCCACCTGGGGCTTGGAGAATGCTCCAGCTCCATAATCCCTGCTTCACTTGTCATGATTTTCTTTAAGTAGCATGGAGAGAGGAGAGGTGTTAGGGGATTGTGTGTGTGGTTTTGTGGTTTGTTTGTGTTTTATATGGCAGAGCAGTGTGAGAGGAGAGAAAATTCATCTAGAAACTGCTTACTGGTTCACTGCCTGAAAGCTTTGTGCTCGCCTGCTTAGTATGGATGGCTGTGCTGGGCCCAGGCGTGCCATAGTAACTGCCCTCGCCTTGTAATTCAATGCATCTCACTTGCTCAGGTTTGGCATAGCACTCGTCCCAGGCTGCACTGGTGTGGCACTCGAGATCGGGCTATTTTTAACCGCCCCGGCCCCGGCCAGCATCCCCTGAGCTCTGGGACCCGTGTGAGTCCGGCTCCGTGCGGCACGGCCGGGCAGCAGAGCGGAGCTGCTGCTGCGGGCCCCGTGGCAGCTGGGGACGGGGCCAAGGCGTGCGGTGGATGAAGGGCTCCGGGCAGCACTTTGGGGAAGCTGCTGCAAGCCCAGCATCCAATTCTGGTGAGCACACGGGACCTGGGATCCTGCGCGGAGTCAGCTGCTGGTCCTCCTGCCACGCTGGGGCCCAGTAGGTATTCTCTTCGGAGAAGGCATCTGATTGCGAGAAGGCAGCAGAGGGCACGGGCTGCGTGTGGGAGTGAGCCTTGTGGGACTTAAGTGTATGTGTGAAACACAGCTGACTGTTCTGCTCTGGTGCTGCATGAGCCAGGCATGGGAAACAGCCTTTTTGCAAACTGCTGCAGGCAAGTCACAGACCTCCTCTTCCAGCCACGCAGCTCCGGCTCACCCGATGAGAGGTCACCCCTCTTGCCAAAGCCTCCCACAAGCTGCACTGTCTTCCCGGAGATGCCAGAAGCTGCCCAGTGTGCTGGGCTGTATCCAGACATCATCCCCAGTGAGGCGGTGACGAGAAGCCTGCAGAAGGGCACTGAATACATCCAAGACCTATCTGAGACCAAGGACAAAGAAGGAACGGTGACAGTTTGTGATAAGAGCGGATTGAGACCTGGCGTTGGCACGGTTGGCCTGCTCCGGCAGACAGAGGCATCCCATGCAGGGACTGTCCTTCCAGCCGACCTTGGGGACAGGCCGGCAGGGCTGGTTGATCATGCTCAGTCACTTGAGGCCTGCCAGAGCTGTGTGAAACTTGAGGACAGCGGCTTAGCCCACAGATCCTGCCGCCTGGAGGAGCACGTGGCAGCAGCTGGCGTTGGTGCGGGCCCTGGAGCACATTCTGCCGGCCAGGGCGAGGGGCGAGCGGCCGTGCGCCTGCACACAGCCTCAGTGGCTCCAGACAGTGTGCTGAAGCACAGAGGTCCTGCTCCCTGCCCTGCAACACCATCCTCTGCTCTGCCATCAAGTGTGGGGAAAGCCCAGCCAGCTCAAAGTGCAGTTGTGCTGCCTGTTTCCTCTGGTGAGGTGTCACCTAAGGCTCAGGACATAAGTGCTGGTTTTGTGACAGAGCCTACTGCCTGCCCCAGCATGAGGTCAAGCTGCGATCCTGATTCCCAGGCACGGATTCTGCCCTCAAAGCAGCAGCAGCAGCAGAAGAAGAAGAGGAAGAAGAAGAAGCTCCCTCTCCCAGGTGCTCAGTCCCAGGGCTCTGTCCTGCTGCATGGAGCCACCACACTGTATGCACCTCAGGGCGTGGGTGTCTGTGTGTGCCTGTGGGATGGGGCAGCACAGAGGAGACAGGAGGGGAGCAGAGGTGATGTTTTAATTTCACAGGTGAAGGAGGAAGGTGGTGAGGTATCCCACCTGGGTGTGTACCATAGAGGGACCTGTCTGTGCCTTGTCGCATCAGCAAAGCAAACTTAAGGGCATTTTGCTTGTCTTTTTCTCAATTCATACGGCAAATCCCGCTTTTGTTTGTGACTGAAAACATGGTCCTTGTAAAGGAACGGAGCAGAACCCAGCCTGCAGCAGCTTGGGTTGGGAGTGTGCAGCTGTGAGGGACCAGTACAGGGAGCCTTTGGCTTCCTTCAGCTGCATGCAGGTCAAGGACAGGCCTGAGCTGCATGGGAGCTGCTCCATCAGCTGTGCTGAGGATGGGATGTTCCTTCTCTTCCTTCACCCAGTGCATTATTGCAGTGCAGTGGGGACAGTTGGCCCCTCAAAATGGCACTTGAGCTGATAATGGGAAATGCATTCCAAAAGGTGGTGCTGGAAAAGGTAGGGATTTAATTTTTAATTTTGTCCTCTAACAATTTCTCCAGTTACTAAACGTAGGGAAGGAAGCTCCTCACTGACAGAGCAGTCCGTGCAGACCAGGCTAACTCCCAGCAACAGTAATGTCACTGACTTTTGGATCCGATAATCTTCGAAAAGGATTTGTGTCTGACTTTGGTTTAGAAGATTTGTTTGAACATGAATCAGTTATTAACTACTCTTCCCAGGATCTGTGCTGTCTATCGCTGTGTGCAGCCAGCAGGTTTTTGGTTTGGGTGTGTGCTGTCCCGAGTACCGGGGTTCACCAGGTGCCTGGCTGTAAATAGGAAGCATGATTAAAGCAGGCCCTGTCACCTTGGCGTGTGAACTCCTTGTCCAGGTGCAGAGATGAAAACTAATCCTCTGTCTGATCCTTTGTGCCAGGTGTGAGCACAGACAGGCAAGTGCGGGTCACTGTCCCGGTGCCCGGCCGCGCTCCGCTGTGCTGTGCTGTGTGTGTGCACAGGGATTGCTGGGCTGCGCTCAGGGCAGCGATGAGAATGTTGTGTTACAACTCGGCTGCCAGCTGGCACGGGCCGGAGCCCAGCAGCCTCTGCCACAGCTGAGGGGACGAGCTGCAGGTGGAGTGCAGGAGGAGGGTCCTTGCTGGGACACAGACACATCCCTTGGAATGACAGGGGAGACCAGAGGTCACAGCCTTCGGTCGAGACCGCAAGCCTGCATCTCGAGGCTGACGTGACCCGGCAGGGATCTCTGTCTGCAGGAGGAGCGGCCGGGTTTGCCCCCGGAGCGGGTGGAACTGCTTCCCTGTGACTCAGACACCTTCCATGAGCCATCCGGGGTGCAGCGCAGGGCAGTGAGAGCCGGCAGCCAGACACAGCTGCCGGCCTGTTTGGGGCTTGAAGTGAGAGCAAGGAGTGGAAGAGAGGTCTCTGCAGGTGTCTTTAAGGTGTCCTGTGCCTCCTCCTACTGTCTCTAGTAGGCTGAAATCCTTTGAAGTCCATGAGTGCCCCATGATGTGCCTCCCTCTGCACCAGCACTGCTGAGGCCGCCACACAGTCAGGCTGCAGCGGGTGGGAAGAACCAGTGACCCACTTTAAGGCAGGTGGGTGCAACTCTGATTCCCTCGGGGAGCATATGAGGTGAGTCAGCACCCATCAAGCAGCACGGCCTCTAGGCCAGCTCATGCTTCCTTGAAACATACGCATTCTGTACAGAACCCCTCTGAAAAGCCTTGCCTAGCTCACATCTGAGGGTTAGCTTCCTGCATAGCAGATCTTTCTCAGTCCAGACTTAATTTTAATTTCTAAATTTAAGACTATGCTGGCTGGAGCTGGATCCTCCAACATAAGGAGACACAAAGGCGTTGCCACTACATGTCTCTTGTTGCGAAGTGCAGAGCTGTGCCGGCCCTGCCTTCACTCAAATGAGGAAAAGAGGGATGGAAGGTGTGAACATGTTGTGTTTCTGCAGACTAGGAACAGTATTCTGATTTCTGAAACACTAGGTAGTTTGGGGATCTTACACCAGTGAGCAGTGAACAGCAGAAGTGTGGTCCTGGCTGGTGACTTTCCCTTGCTTTCAGATTTTCCTATCTTGCTTTGCTGCTGAAGGTGTTTGCTGTGCTCCAGACTGGCGTGTGCATGGGTTGCAGTGCCAGCCTTCCTTTCAGCCAAATTCTGCCTCCTTTCTGGCTGCCACAGCAGGAAGAGAAGTTCAGTGATCCTGCCCTGCTTGGGTGGGCAGGGGCTGGGCCAAGCCTGGCTCGGGTGCCTGGCAGGTCATCCTGTCTGCAGTACCGGTAGCCCCAGGTGTAGCATTTCTGTGGTGGCTTGTCTGCACTCTGTCCAGATCCCCACATGTTCAGGGAGCCCAGAAGTATGGCTGTGCTGGCTGTAGGGTGTGACATGGGGCTCTCCCCAGCCCTTTGGGCATGGTGTGGTTTTTCTGAAGCCGCATCTCTTGAGGCACTCTTGCATGGAGCTTTTCTTCCTCCTTTCTAGCATGACAGCAGCTTGCTACAGCCAGAGCCAGGCCTGACTTGCCCATGGCTTCATCTGTCAAAAAAATGAGCAGCGAGTGCTGGGGACATATGCACAGTGACAGGGACCATGAGCAGCAGCTGCTGAGCTGCTAAAGGCAGCCGAGGCTGCTTGAGGTAGCTCTGCTACCTGCTGCCTTTTGGAATGGGTGTGCTCTCATTGCATTTTTAGCCCTTTCACCATGTCCTAAGTCAGCCCTGAGAGTAATCTGAGGGTTTGCTGTTGGCAGTCATCGTCTGGGGCGGGGACAAGACCCTCCAGGGATGCATTTGCAGGGCTTGTTGCTGCAGTCTTATGTTGTGCTCCAGAGGTGTGCAGGGGGATATCCATTTCCTGGGTTATGGTGAAGGCTGGACGACTTCTCTGGGCTGCAGAAGCAGTTGGGGCTGATGGGGAAGAACTGGCTGTGACAGCTGTAGGTCCTCAAGCCACAGCGCCGGTCTGTGAGGTGAGGGAGGCTGAGCTGCTGTTTCCCCTGGTGTGGGGACAGATGCCTTGCTGGGAGGTGAGGATGAGGAGACACCTGCCAGATGGAGCTGGCTGCAGGGCTGCAACCTCGAGGCATTAGCCTGGCTTGGAGCTGTGCTGACCCTGTGCAGCCTTTCAGAAAGGCTGTTTCTGCTGTCTGGGAAAGCACCCCATCTCCATCTGTGCTGCCTGCAAGTGGATGCCTGAGAGCACCAAGCTGGAAGTGCTGGGTGTGACCTTGGGGTGTCCAGCTGAGTGTGCCCCAGCCCTATTGTTCTCCAGCATGCACTGCCCTGGGTGTGTGGGGTGGTGTGGTGTCCTTGGGGCACCAGCCTGATAGGCTGGGGGCAAGGGGTACTCTGTCATCTCCCAGAGTTGCTATCAGCAGCTCTTCCCACTCTTCCAACTTCTCCTGGCAGACCCTTGCTCCTCTTTAGTGTGATTCCCAGCCTCATTCAGAGGATGTAGGCTCCTCTAGGAGACTGGCAGCTTCCTAGATCTTATCAGCTCTGACACTGTCCACCTCATTGGAAAGGAAAACAAACCGCTGGAGCGGTGACCTGGGTGCACAGAGCTCCCCGGCCCTGGGACACATCTGTCCAAACAAGCACTTAAAATGTCGTCACCATTTTCTTGAATAAAATTGCATAGGCAAAGCCACGCCCTGGCACCATGGGATCTCTGTGAGGTATTTTGGAAATGCGGAGGGTGGCCAAATGCAGGCAGGGCCGTGAGAGCTGTTTGTGCTGTGGAGGAACCGGGCGCCCATGTGACACTCAGCAGTGCCGTGGCCCGCTCGCCTGCCTCTCTGCTCTTTAACATGTTGGTGCAGAGGTTACAGCTGCCTCCAGGCCACAAAGCACCACACACCCTTTTTTTTTTAATTAAGAGGCTTCTTAAGACAGCTCAGTGTGGTGTAGACTGACCCATTCTTCCTGCTCTCCTTCCCTCCCCTCTCTGCACATGGTTTGTGGAAGATGCAAACACTGCAGGTGAGCGACAGCACCTTAATTATGCTATGAGGAAAGGGAGGGAAGGGCCTGGCACACCTCTGTCTAGTAAAGAGCAAGTGCAGAATAAAACTCTTCCTTTTAGCCTTTGATTGGCTCAGGCTTTCCAGTGTCCAAGCCAGTCTCTGCAGCCTGACAAGGACCTTGTCTCAACCCTGTCTTCCTGCCCAGAGCACCCGTCTGGCATGGCACTGATGAATGGCAGCGGCCCACATGACAGCCTCAAGGGTGAGAAGGATGCCAAGCAGAATGGCCATGAGGAGGCTGACCCAGGAGAAGATGGGAACGACCAGGAGGTCATCGTCATACAGGATACGGGATTTACTGTCAAGATCTGTGCACCAGGGATAGAGCCCTTTTCCCTGCAGGTACCTGCCCTCACCAGCTGGGGAAGGGAACATAGGTGCTGGGGGAGTATTTGAACCAGATCCTTTCAGCCAGGCAGGCAGGGAAGGAGGCAGGGGAAGGTCCCTGCTAGCCCCCACAGTCTGCACAGTACCTTCAGGCTGCCCACAGCTCCCTGACCTGTCTTCTGACCAGGACTAAGTGGGGAAGGAGGCAGCAAAGGATGGAGGGTGCAGGAGGACATCTGGCTGGTGCCTTGAGAGAAACGAAGGAAAAAGAGACATGGGCAAGAGGCTTCCTAGCCCAGTCTCACCTGGGCATTGCAGGGACAGGGAGGGTGTTTCATTCTGGATGCCAGGTGTGGAACAAGGGGAAGGAGAACTCACTGAGGTGTAGCTCTGTCCGTCACAGAGGGGCTTGGGTATGGAGCTGAGCACAGGGAAAATGGCCTTCCCACTTCTGGGCTGTTCTTTAAAGAAGTGTTGTGAAAACATGATTTCTGGGCCTGAATGAGCAAGGAAACATCCCTTGCTTGCTCAGCAGTTATGACATGATGCTGCTTCAGGCCAGCCTGGGTTTGGTATACAATGACAGATGCTAACAGCTCAGGGAGCTCAAGCACTGGCCTGAAGACAGAAGGGAATGATTCTGTCTCCACTTCCCTCTGCATGGAGAGCTCTGCCTGATGTCATGTGGACAGTGATGTGCTGCCTGGTCAGGATGGGCTCTGACAGGCCTGGTTCATAGTCCCATTTAGCTTGATACTTCACCAAATACTATTTGAAGTATCTCTAATTCTGGGGAGAGGCATCTGGAATCTAAATGCAATGGAAAGTTCTTACCTCCTAAAGACTGGCAGAGAGTGCAGCAAAATCCCATCCCCTGTGGAAATAGCTGCATCTCAGACTGGCTTTTTGTCGCCTCTAAATCCCCCTGGCTGTTAGTTTTAATCTATTTTAGGCTAATAATAGCAGGCTGTGTTGTTTACAGCAGCTTATGTAAACTACCCCAAGTCCTCTGGGTTTCCCAGCAGTGTCAGTGGTGCTGGAGCAGAGCAGGAGGCAGGGGAGCAGCCCTGGTGCTCAAGGTGGGTCTGGCCTCCCCTGAGCCCTGTTGAGGTGTGGCACTGGCACAGACATCGGGAGGAGGAACTGGGCTGTTTTCCATGTCCAGCATTCACGTTCTCACCACTAATGTGTGAATGGATAAGGGAAGAACCCCCTGTTTTCCCCACCGCTTTCTATCCCTTCACTGCCCTCTGTCACCTCTGTCTCATGCTAAGTGCTTGGTGCAGTGCCTGGCTGTTACATCTCTGGGTGCCAAGCCCGTGGGGTGGAACTCAGGTCACTGACCCTGCCAGAGGTGACAGTGTCCTCCAAGCAGGAGCAGAAGTGATCTTCCTGGGAAGGGAGGTAGAGTCTGCCTTTCCACGCCTGAAGAGAGAGGTCTGAGAGGTTTTTGATACTGCAGCTGAGGGGCAGAGTTTGGCAAGAGCAAGTGGGAGGGTAAACAATAATTGTCTGGGTTCTTACCTTCTTAAGGTTTCTCCTCAAGAGATGGTACAAGAAATCCATCAAGTTTTGATGGACCGGGAGGATACCTGCCATCGGACCTGCTTCTCCTTGCAGCTGGATGGCAACGTCCTGGATAACTTCGCTGAGCTGAAGACAATTGAAGGACTGCAGGAGGGCTCACTGCTGAAAGTGGTGGAAGGCAAGTTCCTTGAGACTTGGGAGGGAATGAGTGGGGGTTTTCTTAGGGCGTGGTTTTGCCCACCTGTCATCTCTCTCCTGTGGTTCCATTTTGAGGCCTGTGTGCTAAAGGAGTAAGCAACTGTCTAATTCCAGTTTGTTTCCGCACTTTTTGCCCATCAGAGCCATACACAGTGCGAGAAGCCAGGATACACGTGCGCCACATTCGGGATCTTCTGAAGAGTCTTGACCCATCAGATGCTTTCAATGGTGTGGACTGTAACTCATTGTCCTTCCTGAGTGTCTTCACTGAAGGAGACCTGGGAGGTACGGGTCAAAAAGACTTCTCTGGTGTAGTCAGTGGTTTCATTCTCTGACTCCTTGCTTAGTTAAACACAATAACAATCAGATGTCCTGTGTCATTTAGGAGTGCAGGGAGTATTTGCAGCACTTCTACATCCCTCCTTGAATGACTGGAGGAGGGAGTGCTGCACTTTCCAGAACTGACTTTGTCTCCGTCTGTTCTAGACAGTGGAAAACGGAAGAAGAAAGGTACCGAAATGGAACAAATTGACTGCACCCCTCCTGAACATATCCTGCCAGGTAGCAAAGAGAGGCCCCTGTGTGCCCTTCAGCCCCAGAACAGAGACTGGAAGGTAGAGTTCTCCTGTGTCATTGAAACAGCTGTTGGCACATTCCTCACAGCAAACTGGTGGTCAGGGATTGAAAGCTGAGCTGAAGTAGACTTTGGGATTTGCTCTGCTTGGTGCTTAATGAGTGCTGGGATAGCACTGCTTAGCCTAAAGAGTAAAGTCCAGGAACTGGTGTGCAAAACACTGGATATGGAGTCTGGACATGTGCAGAGTGTGGAAGGGCCAGGCTTGCTGGGATGGGTGGCAGAGAAGGGAAAGCAGCATTCCTCTGCAAAGTCCTGGAGACAGGATCTGCAGGTCACTACAGATTGCTCTTAGCCTTCCTGTGCCCTCCCATTCAGATTCTGGTTTAGAAGCTGCCATTTGGAAACAAGTACAGCAAGAAATCCATACCCTGTGCAGCCCAAAGTCCCAGGGTATCTGTTTTCACCCGTGTCTCACGGTTGTGAAAGGCAAACTAGTGGACTGCAGAGGGCTCAGGAAGCTGCTCTGGAGACCAGGTGTGTTTGTAAGCTCTGTGTCTGGAATCAAGCAAGGGCAGCAGGTAAAAGGGATCTGGCATATACATCAAATTACTCTAACTCAAACACATTAATTCCTGCTGACAGGAGTTGCTTCTGTTGTGTTCTCCTGTAGCCTTTGCAGTGCCTAAAGGTATTGACGATGAGTGGCTGGAACCCCCCACCCGGTAACCGGAAGATGCACGGGGACCTCATGTATTTGTACGTCATCACGGTGGAGGATCGGCACGTCAGTATCACTGCCTCCACCCGGGGATTTTACTTGAATCAGTGAGTAACTGAGGTGCTTCCTGTCCTGCCCTGCAGCAGCCAACTGGAAAACAACTCACAAACAAACAGTTGCAGCTCTTTATTTTTTTTTTCTTTGGCAGAAACAGCCTATTTTAATTTGCTCCTCACGTGGGTTTGTGGGAGTTGCTATACTGGATTGGGCTGTTTAGTTATGCCTGGTACCACTTCTCCACAGTGGCTAAATGCCTGGTGCTTTAGAGAAAGTTTAAACATCCCATAATGTCATCAGCTATTTAGAGCATTTTGAGCTGGGAGGAAATTCCTTCCTGACTATTGCAACTATCTCATTTTGCCCTAAAGCGAAAGCACAGCCTGTCAGAACTCCCTGAGCTGGGTACAGATTTGGCTACAAATAATTTTTTGTTTTTTTAATGATAGCTGTGAGAGGCTGTTGTGGCTGTGCCTGTTGGAGCAGCTGTGCTGAGGGGGTTCTCTGTTAAGGCACTTTTGGTGTGTTTGGGAAGTTCTGTGAAATCAGTCCTTCCCAGCTATAAAAACAGAAGCCTCTCCCGATTCTGGAGATGGCTGAAGAAGGTCTAAATTAAAACACCATCAGGGCCAGGTACAGGGTTACTGGCTGTTTCATGTGGGGAGACTGGGTAAGGTCCTTGCTGTCCCTTTGCCTTTTTGCCCCATGGTCTCCCATTTTGCAGGCAAGAGCACTGGTGCAGCCTTTGTACTGTGCATGTGTGAAGAGCTCTCAGTCATGTTCCTCGGGTGTGGAAAGTCACAGGTACGACAATGGCTTGTGACTGTTTCTTTTTTTTTCTTTTGCAGGTCTACTGCATACAACTTCAATCCCAAACCTGCAAACCCCAGTTTTCTCAGTCATTCCTTGGTGGAACTACTTAACCAGATCAGCCCTACCTTCAAAAAAAACTTCTCTGCTCTTCAGAAGAAACGGTAGCAGTGCTTCTTCCTCTCTAGTTCTTTGAGAAGTCCAGTATGAAGGTGGGGAGGCTCAGCTGGTTCTGGGGAGCTAGATGCAGTAGGGATTGCAGTGCCTGGCTCTCTGAGCTTATGTAGTGGTGGGTGGTTGGGACACCAGTGAGTGGAAGCTGCAAGGGCCACAGAGCACCTGATTGAACAACAGGGCAGCACCCTGAGGATTTCCCTGATCCACAAAAGAGACTGAAGCATAAATATCAGTGAGAGTAACACAAGAGGGCTTTGTGTAGGCTTATGGTGGAGAGAGGTTGGTTATTTTAAACATGTCTGTGCATGTTAATATTCTATAATTTTCTCTAGCTCCTATAATAATAACATAACAACAAGGCATTGTTTGATTCTCCCATCCTTGCTGCAGGGACCATTTGTTCTGCTCCAGGACCGTGGGTCCTGTGCAAAAGCCTGTCATTCTTCAGAGTCACTTAATGAACTGCCCAGGCTCAGCAGGGTGTGGATTGACAGGCACATTGTGTGGCTTTTGGGAGCTCTGCTCCTGCTTCATTAAGGAGATGAAAGTGACACTAGACAAGGGCTGAAATTAGCAGTGGCCTCCAGCCACCACTGTGACTATCTGGCCATTTAAAAATTACTGTACTGTATTGCTTGGGCCAGAAGTAGCTACAGATGAGCCTCAGCCCCTGCGCAGAGCAGACAGATTACACAAGAGACCTTCAGCAGTACCTGGGTTTGCACTGTGGGCTGCTGTTACATCTTGGCCTGTAAGGACCAGTGTGAAAGCTTGGTTCCAAAATTCTCTTGGAATAGAAAGGATTCTTCCTTTTATTGCTGTTTCTCCCAAACTAGGGTTCAGAGACACCCCTTTGAGAGGATAGCCACTCCTTTCCAAGTGTACAGCTGGACAGCTCCACAAGCAGAGCACGCCATGGACTGTGTCCGGGCAGAGGACGCCTATACTTCTAGACTGGGCTATGAGGAGCACATACCTGGACAGGTACTAGTCTTGCTTTGCCTGATGACACTGGCAAGAGTTTTGCTGCCAGCTACGCTGAGAATAAGTTAACTACCAAAAAGTAACCCTTTGTGGGAGGGTTTTGGTAATCGAGAGAAAGCTTGCAGGAGTCCTTGTTCTTCACAGGGCCCTTGACTACAGGGGCTGTGCTGCTCATGCTGCAGCTCCATGAGCACAGAAGCAACTGACAGGAGCAGCTTCTGCTCGGATGTTTCTAAATTCCATGTCCCTTCTCTGAAGAGTGCCACTGCACAGGAGGCAGACCACTCCCTCATGCCAGTCAGGCCTGGAATGGCTCTTGTGTCTCTGAGCAGACTGCTCCAAATGCTTCATCTGCAGCTTTCTAGCACAAAGTGGTGCAGGGCAGCAATGGCCGGCCATGGGCAGCATGTGCCTGCAGTGTGACCACAGCACTGGCTAATGACACCTGCACCATGCTGCCCCTTCAGTAACACTGCCCTGCACTGGCTGGGCTGATGCAAGATCTGTCCCAAACTGCTGTTGAATAAAGTCCACTCTCGAGGTGTGTTTGTTCCTGCTGTGAAGTCACTTCTTCCAAGCTCCACAGCAGCCTGAATTCTTACCCCTTCCTCTCCCTTCTCTCCCAAAACACCTTGTGAAGCGGGAATGCTGCCTTGCCAACCCCTTCCCACACAATGCATTGCATCCCACGAGGCTTTCCCTCCCTCTTTCAGACCAGAGACTGGAATGAGGAGCTGCAGACTACACGAGAGCTGCCACGCAAGAACCTGCCTGAGAGGCTGCTGAGAGAACGAGCCATTTTCAAGGTAACTTTGGGATATGCAGGCAGCTCCTCACACAGCCTGTCCTCTGCTGCCTGTCTTCTGGCTCCTGGGGCTTGTATGGAAGCCACTAGCCAGGCTCACAGCAGTAAAAGCCAGCAGACCTGCCTGCCTGCTGGAAGGCTGTTGGGAGGAAAGGAGCAAAGGAACAATTTGCAGGGAGCTTTGAGAGCTGGGAGGTGGGGTGCTGGGAGCGTGGGGGCCCATCCTGACCCCGCTTTCTCTCCAGGTTCACAGTGACTTCACTGCAGCAGCAACACGAGGTGCTATGGCTGTCATCGATGGCAATGTCATGGCCATCAACCCCAGCGAGGAGACCAAGATGCAGATGTTCATCTGGAACAACATTTTCTTCAGCCTGGGCTTTGACGTCCGTGACCACTACAAGGACTTCGGTGGAGACGTTGCTGCTTATGTAGCTCCTACCAATGATCTCAATGGTGTGCGGACCTACAATGCTGTGGATGTGGAAGGGCTGTACACACTGGGAACTGTCGTGGTGGATTACAGAGGTTACAGAGTGACAGCTCAGTCTATTATTCCTGGCATCTTGGAGCGGGAGCAGGAACAGAGTGTCATCTATGGGTCAATAGACTTTGGCAAGACAGTTGTGTCGCACCCCAAGTACCTGGAGCTGCTGGAGAAGACAAGCAGGCCACTGAAGATCCAGAAGCACAAAGTTCTCAATGACAAGAATGAGGAGGTGGAGCTGTGCTCCTCAGTGGAGTGCAAAGGCATTATTGGCAATGATGGGCGTCACTACATCCTGGACCTGCTACGCACTTTCCCTCCAGATCTAAACTTCCTGCCTGTTGAAGGGGAGGAAATGCCAGAGGAATGTAAGAAAATGGGGTTCCCCAAGCAGCACAGACACAAGCTTTGCTGCCTGCGGCAAGAACTTGTTGATGCCTTTGTAGAACACAGGTGAGCAGAGCTCCCTGCTTCCTCCACTGCAGCTGGTCATGGTTCAAGTCAGGACCTTGCTGCACTCTCCTGGGAACATCCTAGCAGAGCTCCCAGAAGTGAGCAGCTAATTGTGCCATTGTTTGGCTGTGTAAATGCAGTTATAGGAACTTAATTAACAAGAGGTGAGAATAGTAGGGATTTGGACAGGGAGCCAGGGAAAGAGATGGTTTGTGTTTTAGTCTCCAGATCTGTTACTGTTGATTCCTGTACAAACATTTAGAAGTTCTTTCTCCCTTGCAGGTATCCTTTCCCCATGACACTAGGGAATGGGAAGGATTTATTCTTCTTACTAAGGCTTTCCCAATGTCCTGAATATTACTTCTGTTTCTAGGTGCTGGAAAAAATCCTGTGTGCTTGTGGTGGGACGTTTGGGTCACCTGGTGCTGGCAAGGCAGGAGAGCACAGGGAGCGGGACACATTCCAAACATGTGGTGCTCTGGGATTTTGCTGTGCTGAATTCTCCTTTCCCTTTGCTGCAGGTATCTCTTATTCATGAAGCTGGCTGCACTGCAGCTGATGCAGCAGAAAGCCAACAAGCAGGAGAGCTCAGTTGCGCTGGAGAACGGTGCCTCTGCAGAGAACGGTGCTGCAGACAGCGAGCGGCCTGAGTCAGAGGACGGCAAAATAGACAATAGCGTGACTGGGCTTGATCAGGTGAAGGAGCTCGCCGAGACCATCGCATCTGACGATGGAACAGGTATTTCATCCTCAGCACCAGCTCCACGCAGGCCTGGTGGGCTGTCACTGCTGGATCAGCTCCAGGCTGGGGGTGGTGGGGGTGATTGATGGTGGTTAAACAGGACAAGTACTGGCTGCCTGTCAGTGCTAGCCTCTTGGTTAGAGCTGCTCACACCCTGATGAATGACTCGCCTCCAGGACAGGGTGAGTGAGGTGTCTGAACCCAGCAAGGTCACCAGCCCCTCAGCTCTTCCCTAGGAGCAAGAGCCTAGCCTGGCTGGCCTGTGGAGTACAGGGGAGTTCTGGGGCCAGGCAGGAGGCCAGCAGTGCACAGGCACCTTGGGGAACCCCAGGCTTGGATTTCTGAGTGCCTGTGCTTGGAGGTGAGGACGTCTATGGGGATTTTGGGTCATCTTATGTGCTCTTATTCAGACTGTGCAGCCATTCTCCTTTACAATTGTTTGTTTTTATAATGGATTTCTTCAGAATGTGCCATCATTGCTGTTTTTAGTAACAAAACTTAATTTAATAGCTAGGTGTGTCATTTCCTGAACTCCACACTCATTTGTATTCTGTTTTTCTTCCTGCTCCAGTGGATCCCAAAAGCAGAGAAGTGATTCGGAATGCTTGCAAGGCTGTAGGCTCCATTAGTGACACATCATTTGATATTCGGTTTAACCCAGATATTTTCTCACCAGGTACGTGTACCCAGAGCTGGGACCAGCCCTTCAGAGGGTGGCTGTGTCCAGGCAGCTGCAGACAAAATCTTTCTCTAGCCAAGGGTTCTTGCTGGCTTTTGTTTGGCTGGGCATGCTGCAGGGCTCTCTGTGAAGCAGAGTGCAGAAGAGAGGAAGCAGCAATGCATTCCACACACTGGAGCCACCAAGTGCAGGCAGGGAGCGGCTCCCACCGCGCACTCGCGGGACGGCTGTGGGCTGCTGCCAAGAATCCTCCTGGGATTCTCCAAGTATCCCAGCTGTGAGACCATGTGAAAAGAAGCAGAGGGAGGAAAAAAAATCAAATTTGATCCTCATGTAGTAGTTTACACAAAAAATAACACTTGTAGTTGAATGACTGATGTTGGCACCTCAGTAAAGGGCTAGGTTTGTTTTAGTAACATTTCAGCTAGCAGTCACAGTGCCCTTTCACATACATGCATCAGGCACAGGCATCACACATGAATTTCCATTACTTGGAGCAATATTTTTTATTGGGAAATTGAGAAGAAGCTCCCAGAGTGTTTCTGGGAGTGAATACTGGGGCAGGCACATTGCAGGGGAATGGCCAAACCATTGAGTTTGAACAGCCCAGCCCCTGCCTGAACACAGCAGCCAATGCTCTTCCCATCGAAACATGTATAGTTTGAGATAAGTTTTTGAAGCATCTTTAATTCCAGGGAGACAATTGCTCTTAACTTTTCACCTGCTCTTACTATGTACTTTGTGTAAAGGAACTTGCTTCTGTGAGTCGCTGTGGTTGATGTTTTTTCTCTTTTCTTCTCCCAGGTGTTCGCTTCCCAGAGTCAAGCAAAGAGGAGGTACAGGACCAGAAGCAGCTGCTGAAGGATGCTGCTGCATTCCTGCTGTCGTGCCAGATCCCAGGCTTGGTAAGAAACCCAGAGCCAGCAGTGAGGCTGCCCTCAGGGCTTGGCTGCTCTGAGCTAGTGACCTATGGGACACCAGCTTCACCTGAGCAGCTGCAGGCTCTGGCACTGGTGGGGGACCACAGGGAACAGCATGAGCATTGCATACAGGGCATGAGGGGTTTTCCATTTCCCATCTTGCATCATGGCACAACTTTATCACCTCAATCCAACAAAAAATTTTTGGCACTGGTAATTAAAGCTGTTGTGAAGAGTTCGGGACAATAGAGACCACATAAGCCATCCTCCCTAGCCCTGGGCATCCATCACAGCTTATTGTTTTAGCTGACCCTGGCTGTGACTCAGTCAGTGACTAATAATTTGAAGTGAACTGGGAAATTGTTTTTACTAATAGCAGTCATTAAAAACTCCTTCTCTTAAGTCTTAAGCGTTTTGGATGTTACCCATGCACCTGGCCAGATAAGAAATCCCAGTTTCTCCTTTCCTGGGACACTTGCTGAATTGATGGCTAATGCAGCTGTCAGAGCAGGCACTGGAACTGGCAGGGGAGAACTCATGAGCTCTACTCCAAGAGTTGTGGATCTTTTGTAGGAGAGGGTTTTCCTTGTTGGAAAGTTGCTTCTGAACTCTAAATACACTAATTCTATAGTCAGCACAGCCTTCAGAACCAGCTATTCAGTCTTTAAACAAAAAAGGAGCTGAGTGAGTCAGAAAAGTGCTCAGTGATTGTTGATTACGAGGTCCTTGATGCTCCTATATAGACCCAAAACACTGCACAGGCCTGCGTGAGAGCAGGTTGTAGACCAGCTGCTGTAGCATATCAGAGTAGTCCTGTGCATATCAGAGAGGAGCTGGTGTTACTCCATGACGTGAATTAAACAACTGTTTATCAGCACTGCAACACAACTTAACATGCAAGTGCCATTTGTCCTTATCAGCTATGTGTGCACAGCTGCACATCTCTTTTAATTGGAAATGGTAATTAGTTAGTGACTCTGAGGCCCTTAAAGAAGGGTCAGCCTGCTACTTGCAGAAGCAGGAGTTGTTTTGCCTCTGCCTCTGAGAGTGTAGTGCTGCTCCTTCCCTGCTGAGACAGAGTGAAACTGGCCCCAGGGGCAAGGAGCTGGCCCAGACTGGGCTGGCTACTGCAGGTGTCCCCCCCGCCTGTTACCATGGTGGTCCCTGTGTTACCCACCAAAAGAGTCTTATTTGGGGTTAGAGCCTGCTTCCAGGGTGACCCTCAGCCCCAGGTAATGAGGTATCTGCAGTGGCATTGGGGAACACCTGTCCTGCCTCCTGGTGTGTTTAAGTGGAAGTTCTTTCCTTCATGTTTGTCCTCAGTAACCAAAGTCTGTACATACCCTGCAGGTCAAGGACTGCCTGGATCACACGGTGCTCCCGATGGATGGAGCAACCTTGGCTGAGGCCATGCACCAGAGGGGCATCAACATGCGTTACCTGGGCAAAGTGATCAACTTCATCACCAAGACCCCTGGCCGTGCACAGCTGGATCACATCTTTGTAAGCATCAGGCTTAACATCAGACAGTTCAAATCACTCTGGCATTGCTTGTCCCGAGGAGATTCCCACTTGGCCAGTTGTTCTGTCTAAAAATAAACAGCTTCAAAAATAGCGGGGGAGGGAGGAGGACTGCTAAGTGGTAGCTGGGGAGTTTTTCTCCCAAATCCTCAATGGCTTTCATAATGTTAGGAACTGCGAGTATCTTTTGGGTAGAGAATTGCTTCAGGGATTCCCAACTGTAATAGAGTAACACAGTTGGATTTTCAGCCATGCATTTTTCAAGCCTCTAAGACACATCTGGGCTTTGGATCAAATTCTGAAGTGTTGTGAGTGTGGCTGCCCAGGAGCAGGCAGAGGCTGGGCTGTGGCAGCCCCTGAAGCACTGCTGCAGCTGTGCTGAGCCATACTGCTGTGCTGGCTTGTGGGCACCAGGCACAGAGGTGCCAGGGCCTCCTCACTGGCTCCAGGAGGGTTGTCAAATGCTTTTGCAGTTCTGTGCTGCAGGGAGAATAGTGTATCTTCTGCAGATCTTGCTAAAAGACCATTTCAAAAGCCCAGTGTTTCTTGCCAATGGACTCAGTCTGTTCTTTATTCCTTTGGGCAGAAAATTGGAATCAGCGAATTGATCACTCGATCAGCCAAACACATCTTCAAGACATACCTCCAGGTATGACCAGCAATCTGACCTCTTGCTCCATGTGTCCTCCCTAATGACTTTTTTCCGCAAACAGAGCTGTTTGGGGTTCTCCTCTCATTAGGCAGTTCCTGGGGGTTGCGTGGCAATGAGAACTACAAGCTCATTAGCACTGAAATAGGTACAGGCCTGTATGTAATGCAAAACAAGTTCCCACTTGAAGAAAGCTTTCTCGGAGAGCAATCATTCGTCTTTTTCCTCCCCAGATCTTCACTCATTATGTTGGAGGCTTTTAAAAGTGAAATCACAGCTTGTTTTCCTTGTAATACCTTTTCCTCTTAAACAGTGTTGTTTTTCCCTTCTAAGAAACATTTTTAATTGGCTCAACACTACATGTCCTTGTAGCTGTTCACACACAGCCTAGCAATACACCTGGCTTCGTTCCAGTGCCAAAGTCTTCTTTGCTTTCTCTTTCCCAGGTAGCAGCCCAAAATGTAACCACACATTATATACATACATATATATATATATATATATATATACACATACATATAGGCATATACTTAATCCTACATTGACATCACTCTGTCTGTCCTTGTGCCACTTGTAAACACTGGCTTCCTGTCCCTCTTGTGGACTGACTCTGGTGTCTCACTGTAGGGTGTGGAGCTGTCAGGTTTATCCGCCGCCATCAGCCACTTCCTCAATTGTTTTCTGAGCTCCTTCCCAAATCCCATTGCCCATCTTCCAGCTGATGAGCTGGTCTCCAAGAAGAAGAATAAGAAAAGGAAAAACAGGAACCTTGGAAATGCTGATAACACTGCGTGGGCCAGCATGACCCCTCAGGAGCTATGGAAGAATATTTGTTCAGAAGCAAAGAACTATTTTGATTTCAGTCTTGAATGGTAAGTGGAGCAAGTGACCCTGGCTTGTCCCTGGATTCACCAAACTTCTGTAGCTCTTGCTCTTTAACAGGACCTCCCTTTCTGATTTGTTTTCTTTTTGAATAAAATTTGTACCCTTGCGGGACTTACACAGATCTTTAATGGAAAGAAATTGGGCAAAGAGTAGGAAGGGGGAAGTGAAATTTTGAATTAGATGAAACCTATGATGCAAAGGCAGCCATGAAAAGCAGGGGAGGAAGGGAAGCTTTTCCTAAGGGTACAGAGGGGATCAGAAGGTGAGAAGCAGAAATAGTATAGTCAGAAGATACTTGTCTATCAACAATTACTTAGGCTGAAGGGAGCTTCTGTTCCAAAAAAAGGACAGCTGCTCCTGTATGTGAGCAGAGATGGGGGAATAAGGAAGGGGCATGTTGTGAGTGCTAAACTGGAAGCACCAATGAAATGGCCCAAAAGAAAAGCCATGGCTAGTTGGATAAACCAACTTTTGGTAGTTAGACAGTGATCATGCCCTCATGTCAGGGACTGCTTCGCTCCTCACCAAGAGCTGAAGGTACTCAGCTCAAACTGCAGTGAGCTTTGGGAACACATGTAGGATTTCTCTAAAAGCACTGTGCTGTGCTCTGTAGGCTTTCACAGACCTTGGGCAAACTCTGCAGTTAGTCTTTGGTTTGAGTTAGCACCTGGCTGTACAGGGACCTGTGCCTCAGGTTCCCACAGTGGAGCGATGTCCTTGAGCAGAAACTCCCCTGAGAGCTGAAGCTTGTGTGTGCTTTCTGCAGTGAGAATGCTGACCAGGCAGCTGAAGTGTATAATCTACAGAAAATCACCCTGCTCCGTGAAATCTCCCTCAAAACTGGAGTCCAGGTAAGATCCACATCCTCTGTCCCTTGCCATTATGTTCTGTACTGAGGAGCATGAAGAGCAAGTGCAATGTGTTTTGGAGGCACAGCATGAGCCCCAAAAGGTCTTTGTGGTGTTCATGTTGGAATACAGGTCCCAGCTCTGAGAATGAGATTTCTAATCCAGTTCCCTCATAGGGTAAACTTGGAAGAACAGCTGGCCTCAGTACAGTGCCTTCCTGCTCCTCTGTGGGCTGTGGGAGTGTAACTGCATGAGCTCTCCTGTCACGGGTTCAGTGTTGTCACCACAGTGCCATTTTGCCATGCACAGGTGGTGGTGCACACCTACATCTGGCCACCTTGGGGAGTTCTGACCCAGGCTGTGGTACAGGAGATGTTTTGACTGTGAATCCACATTTAGAATTTTGCACTTTTTCTTGCCAAGTGCCTATGGAAGTGGTAACTGTGCCTTCCACTCTTTTTGGTCCCTCCAGATCCTGCTGAAGGAATACAACTTTGACAACAGGCACAAGCCCACTTTCACAGAAGAGGATATTCTTAACATCTTCCCTGTAGTGAAGCATGTGAACCCCAAAGCCTCCGATGCTTTCCACTTCTTCCAGAGTGGGCAAGCAAAAGTTCAGCAAGGTACAGCCCCCATGTGCCTCTGCCTCTCAGGATGATCACTGATAATGGGAGGAGTAAGGTGTGTGGAGCATGGCCACCAGGACACCCCTGCCAACCCCGATTTGGTAGAGAATCCTGGTCTCCTAGACTATCTGGAACACGCCTGCTGTAAAGCCACCAGCAATGAGCAAGAATGGGTCAGGGCAGTGGTACCCTTCCCCCAGTGCAGTGACAAGTGTCTGTGTATCCCACTGCTGGTCTCACTTCCTGTCTCCAGCAGTGTTAGGAGTTATTTTTTTTTTATATATATATATATATGTATGTGTGTATATGTGTGTGTGTATACCTTCTTTTCAGGTTTCTTGAAGGAGGGCTGTGAGCTCATCAATGAAGCCTTAAACCTGTTCAACAATGTGTATGGTGCTATGCATGTAGAAATCTGTGCCTGCCTGAGGCTGCTAGCTCGGCTCAACTATATCATGGGAGATTACTCAGAGGTAAGCAGGGGCTCTGTGGGGATCTCCTCAGTGCTCTCATTCCTTTGCCATGCTTGCTCAAGCTCACAGCGTGGTGTGACTTGCCCGGGGTTGTGTTCTGCTCTCTTCAGGCCTTAAGCAATCAGCAGAAAGCGGTGCTAATGAGCGAGAGGGTCCTGGGCATTGAACACCCCAACACCATCCAAGAATATGTGAGTATGGAGAGCTGGGGGAGCAGCAGCACCTCAGGGGTCTGGCTGCAGTCTGGGAGCCTTAGTTCATGTCTGCAGCTGGAAAACAGTTGCATTTTCCTCTCTTCTGCAGCTTTCTTTCCAGAATTCTCCATTTCATCATCTCTTATGATCCTGCAAAGTGAAAAGCTGAGTGTGTCCTGCATGTTCATTATTTGTCCTGCTTAACCTAGGTTTCTAGTGTTTGTCTGCTGCATCTTTATTTAGATATATTAATTCTCCTGGTTTTGGCCCTGGGCTTATGTCAAAAACAAAAAGAGGATAGAATCCCCCCCAAAACACAGTCAGAATATGACATACATATGCGAGTCAGGTTGGAAATTTTTCACAAGGGGTGTTAAGAGAAACTGAAATAACACACACAGCTTCCTCAGGGACACCTCAGTGGGGCTATGCATCAGCCAGCAGACTGGACTTTTCAAAGTGGCTGAAGCCTTCTTTAATCAGTGAGGAAGACTTTTTATTCATGTGCAGCTGAAGAAAAGAGTGGAAAGGAGAGATTAGTTTCCTTTACATTCATGCTGGGTCCCTTCTCTTGTCCTAGATGCACCTGGCTCTGTACTGCTTTGCAAACAGCCAACTCTCGACAGCACTGAACCTGCTGTACCGTGCACGCTACCTCATGCTGTTGGTATTTGGGGAGGATCACCCAGAAATGGCACTCTTAGATGTAAGTAATTAAGAGTCTTCAGGTTCTAATCTCTGAGAAACCTCTTGGCCTTTAAGATGCCCACATGATGGCCATTAAAAACAAATGTTTAGGCAGTGCTTTTCCTCCCTGGGTTATTACTGATTGGTACCATCAGATGAAGGAAAAAACAAGTTTAACCCTTTCACTTGGGAGGGTCAGCCTCTGTGCTGAGCTGTGCACTGGGATTCTGCAGGTGGGGTTTGAGCACTTTCCTAATCCTTAGGAAAGCTCCAGTTTATGCCAGTGGAACAAGAACGTAAAAGAGTTTATTGACGTCCCTGTCACGTGTTACTGCTGCAGGGACGTGGCCAGGGCCTGCAGCCCTTCTGGCAGTGACACACCTGTGGGGTCCCACTGCTCACAGAGCAGGAACTGTAGTGTCAACATTAGTGTCTTTCCTAATGCCTGCTTGGCTTCTCTGTACAGAACAACATTGGCCTGGTGCTCCATGGGGTCATGGAGTATGACCTGTCCCTCCGGTTCCTGGAGAACGCATTGGCCATCAGCTCCAAGTATCACGGCTCCAAGTCTCTGAAGGTTGCTCTGAGGTGAGGCAGGGTGGGGTGCTGGGCTGGGTCACTGCTGTCAGAGCGAGCACAGTCACCCAGTACTTGCATGGGAGCGGCTGGGCTCGAGAACTGGATATTCAGTCTTGTCCCAGAGCCAAGGTCATGGGGCAGTACCCAAGTTTTTTATTTCAAAGGATGGAGAGCTGTTCTGAATGTTAATTGTGGGATCTGCTGTGATGCTGCTTTGGTCAAAAAATCTATCAAGATGACCTGTGGACTCTTGGTAGAAAAATGTATGTGGGGAGTAAAGGTTGGAGAGCCTGTAAGGGAATTGCACTGGGAGGCAGGGACAGTGCATTAAATGCTCATGTTCAATCCTTCCAGCCCTCAGGGAGGGATCTTTGAGAATTATTTAATGTGCTTTTGTCCTTTGCCATAAAGTCCTGTATTTGAATAAAAAGCCTGAGTGGCTTCTGTGTGTTCCCAAGGGAGCTGGGACTGGTGACACCTGTAGGATCTCCTCCCAGTGCCCACTGCTGCAGTGCTGGATGCCCTCTGACTTCAGTGCAGAACTGGCTGTGTTAGCCAGGCATGGCCCACTCCCAGTTCTTGCTGCCACATCGTAGCCATCTGTTCTCCATCAGGCTGCAAATCAAGCTGATTAAACATCTGCAAAGCCTGCCTTGTTCTCCAGTGGCTGATGAATGTTCATGCCCCAGAGAGTCTTCAGCTGTCCCTCAATGGCACTGGGATGCCTGGAGACACCCGTGCCCTCCCACAGAGAAACACTGCCAAACCCAGCAATTTCTTTTTCATTCCAGAAGCAGCAAGGCCAACAGTCCAAGGCAAGTCAGCTCTCCCAGCTGGCGAGAGCCCAGGGGACTCAGGCCTGAGGGCTTAGGGCTGCAGCCTTCCTCTCCAGTTAGTAAATCCAAACCCAGGGTATTCCCATGGATGCGCCTCTCCCTTTGGTTGACTGCTGTGGCCTTCAGCTTTCCTGGATGCAGGACAAAAGATGCCCAGCTCAGTCTTTACCCCTGTAGGTCACTTCTCAGCATTCCAACTGAAATCCAGCCTTAATGAGTGTAGTATTTGAATCCTCAGCTGGGTGGGAATAAGTAACTCCCACGGTGCTGCATTCAGTCTCCTTTCATGCTTGTGTTAAGACTTTCAGCCCAGACAGTGTGATGGCACAGTCACACTCACTGCAACACAGAAATGTTTCTTCTTCAGAGAAGTGACAACCCTTTTCCTTCTCTCAGCCACCACTTGGTTGCCCGAGTGTACGAGAGCAAAGCAGAATTCCGGTCGGCTCTGCAGCATGAGAAGGAAGGCTACACCATCTACAAGAATCAGGTGATGAGTGGTCCCACGGTGCACTCATGAGCTGTCACTGCAGGGCCAGAACTGAGCAGTTCCACTGCGAACCAGTGCCCAGCCTGGGCTTTGAGAAGGCCTTTCCTACACACGGTTCTGAGCAGATGCCAGGGAGTCCTTGTAGGGCCAGTGCAGAATTGCCTGCCTTGTGCAGTAACTGCCCACTACTATGCCAGGAGTCTTTGCTCAGCTTCCTGCGAATGTGTCCGTGCTCTTCCCATGGCTGGACAAGCACTTCTGTTGTGGCATGGTCCCATGTTCTGGTGGGGCTTGAAAAAAACTGGTTTCTTTTTCCCATCTTTTGTCTTCAAATAACAGCTCCAGACTGGTTTGGTAGTGAGCTCTCAGCCTGGCTGCTGCTCAGTGAAACTCCTGCCCCAGCCTGGGGCTGTCTGAGCACGTCTGCACGCAGTGACTCAGCTGAGGGCACAGCCCAGTGTGGGGAATGCTGGAATACTGGTCCAGGTGGGGGGATGCTAGGATGCTGCTCCTGTAAGAAGAGTCCAGTGCAGGGAATGCTGCTCAACCAGCAAATATGTTCCCACTTGATGAAAATGTGAAATGTTGATAAGAAGGCTCCCAGAGGAACTGTTTTACTGGTTTTTGTATGCCAAGGCAGTCAACATCCATTTTGCTGAGTTCCTGTAGGGACACTGAGCTGGCAGCACCCAGGTGTGTTCCCTGGGTTGGGCCTTGTTCTCACTTGTGATGTTGAACCCTTTTTTTTTTCCCATTTCCCATCAGCTCGGTGAACACCATGAAAAGACCAAAGAGAGCTCCGAGTACTTGAAATACTTGACGCAGCAAGCGGTTGCTCTGCAGCGCACAATGAATGAGATCTACAAGAATGGCTCCAATGCCAACATCATGCCACTGAAGGTGACCCGCAGCGCTGGGATCGTGCTGTGCCAGCAGCAAGTTGTGTCCAGCTGCTCCTGAGGGGCATGGGCTGTCAGGAGGGGGTAGCGGTTGTCCCTTCCCAGGCAGAAGCCCTTGCTGGGGCAGTGGCTCAGACACAGTGTGGTGTCAACTGTGTGGATGGAGCACAGCGTTGCAGGATGCCTGGGGAAGCAGCAGGGTACAGGGACAGCTCCTGGGGTGACAGCCTGGCACATCTGCACACAACCCTGCCCTGCTGCTGACTCACTGCCAGGCAGCAGGTTGCTCAACCCAGAAATACTTGTTTCCTCATCCTCAAAAATGCTGTCATCTTTTGTGAGATGCTTTGTTCTCCTTCCAGGGATATGGTTGGGGCGGCTGGGCAGGGAGCGCAGGGGGGCTGTCTTACCTTACATGGAGCAGCAACGAATGGCCCTCCTGGGCCAAACCCAGCTGCTCCTGCCTGCCTCCGGGTGCCTGGCAGAGTACCTGGCCTGAGCCATTGGTGCTCTCCCTGCCAGACTGTACCCCAGCAGATTGGGAAAGAGCGTTCCAGCTGCAGAGAGGACAGAGTGTGACAGTGCTCTGTGTGTGGGTTTTCCTCTCCCTGTGGAGAACTGGCAGCGGACCTGAGAAGTTCATGGCAAAGCACAAGGACCTTGAATCAAATAAAAGTCAGAGAATTGTGGGCAGTGAAGAGGCTCAAACCCATAAAAATAGCACTAAAGGGTTTACCCTTGTTAAAAGACTTGAAGGAGGGTAGACAACCCAACACATTTTGGAACTGGCACCATGTCCCACAGGGACTGATGGGAATCTCTAGATGGTGCTTTCCAGCTTATGGATATACAGAGGTAGATAATGTAAATGATGCCATTTTCTCAATTTTTGGTAATGGGATGTGCTTAGCAGTACAGAGTAGGTTCTGACTCCTAAAACTTTTCTCTTGCAATGTAGTTCACAGCTCCCAGTATGGCCAGTGTCCTGGAGCAGCTGAATATTATCAATGGAATTCTCTTCATTCCACTAAGGTACAGTGATTCTTCTGGGTTATGCCCTTAAAAATCAAGTGTGTATTGTCTTCATTTGCAAGAGAGCAGAAAACAGCTCCCCAGGATTTGTTTGTTTTAGCCAAGATCCCAGTTAAGGCCTTGATTAGCATAAAGATCACTGTAAACAGCAGGACTCTTAGATTGTTTTTTTAATTATTATGAATTGTCTTTTATTACTGCTAGTTGAAAATTTGATTAGGATGACGGTGGAAATACATGACTTGAGCCAGGACTGTTCTTCTAAGGCTGTAAATAATCACTGGTGGTAAAAATGCAGCATCAGCAGCTGGAGGCTGCCTGGCCATCAGCAAGATGAACATTCTGCTCTGCCCTAGCCCCACTGAGGGAGCAGATCCTGGTGCCTCTTTGTTCAAACCCAGCCAGCAAAGTGGGCCCTAGCCCTACTCAGCCATGGCTGAGTTGTGAGGGAGGGAGGTACAAGGAGTGTTCCCCCTGTTGAACATGACCTTGTTGTGGTGCTTCACCATTCCCATGGCCAGTCTAATGTCTACTCCCCTTGCTACTTTCCCCTTCAGCCAAAAAGACTTGGAGAACCTTAAAGCCGAGGTGCAGCGACGCCAGCAGCTCCAGGAAAGCATGAAAAGTGGGGAACAGCTGGAAACAGAGGACAAAGCTGTGGAGGAGAAAGAGGCTGAGCCAAGCATGCCTTCCACTGCCATCCCCTTAACACAGAGCTCTGCTTAATGTGTACCTCGCTAAAAAAAAAAACAAAAAAAAAACAAAAAACAAAAACAAAAAAAAAAAAAGTTTAAACCACCCTTTTCTGAATCTGGCCCAGGGCCTTAGCTGCCCTTGGAGCAGCTCCTCCTTTTTGACAATGTTATTGCACTGGTACAATTAATACACAATGCAAAGAACTAATCTGAGCAATGTAATCTGTCTGCCCAAGCTTGTGTCTGCCACGCGAGGGGAAGTGGCCGGAGGCAGCACAGACCCGTCCTGGCGCACGGGGCCCTCCTGCCGTGTGTGTGTGTCTGTGTCGTGTGTGTGCGCAGCAGTTATTTCTACTTTGTACATATGAATTCCAAATGAACTGTCTGGAGGAATGTAACATTTCTCAGGTCATTTTTATGTTGACTAAGGACACTGCTTTGCTAAACCAGTAAAGAACCAGCCCCATCACTGCTCCACGTTCTTGTAAAACGTGGATTCCAAGCCAAAAGATTGATTTCCCCCCGGTCACTATTCAAGATTGTGCAAAGAACAGCCATATTTGTGTCGCTGAGATGACTGAAGCTTGTGACATGTGGAAGTGGGGGATGTACAGCATTTTCTACATCAGGATATAGCCATGGGATTCCTTTAACCATTTTTTTCTATGTTTGGTTGGCAGTTTGGCAATTCAGTGGGGTTTTGTAACATTCACATTCTAATTTTCAAGGTAAAGATATAGATAGATAGATATATATAGATATATATATATATATATAGATATATATATATGATATTCACTGTTCCACCTCTGCTCTGCTTGCAGCTGAGTAACTTGGGATACTGTATCCAAAGAGTGAGAGCTTGATCTTTAAAAAAGCGCACAAACTCCCACTGCAGTGGAAACCCCAGTGCCTCGGAGAGCTGGGAATGCTCTTAAATGAGGGCTGAGCTAAGGGGCATGAGGAGGGAATCTCAGCCCTATTTAAGGGCGGGAGAAAGGGGAGGAGAATTTAGAAGTGGAGATCTGGTGTCATGTGCAACAGCAGCTGTTGACACAGAGCTGAGGGCCCTGAACCTGAAAGAATCACAACCAGAAAGTACCAGGTTTTGGGGAAGGGGTTTAAATAAAAACTTAAGTTCCTCCAGCACTGAAACCTCTGGCAAATACCTTTGTCTCTGGTGTTTTTGCATGCTGGTTTTGGGCCTGGCGCTGGGAGCTGCCATTGCTGGCAATGGACGGTACTGAATGGCAAGTGTTACTAAGAAATCCTCCTGTCCCCTCCCACACACATCCTGTGGGGTTGTCACTGTCCTCAAGCAGGTAAGATGTGGCTGCTGCAGGCCCTGGGATGCCGACAGAGTTGAATGTCCTGTTTTCCAAGCAGATCAAGCTGTAGAAGAACGGTGGGCTGGCCACAGCCCCGCGCTGCTGGCACCCAGCTTCTCCCTCCCTCGCGTTGTCTGTCCTGAACTGTGCCCGTGCTAATCCACGCTGCTTCTTTTACTGACCCTTGGAGCCAAGTGCTGTCCCTGTGCTCTGTACCCTCGGTTTCCTGTCTGACCCTACAGGTATTTGTAACTCGGGGCAGGGTGGGGGGGAAGGAGGGAGCAGCCTCTGAGGTGTTGGAGGCAACAAAACAGTCTTCACTGCAAACGAACTTGCTCCTATTAGAAAAATTCTGCATTTCCTGGAAAGCAATCAATAAATTACTACAGTGCATCTTTCCTACAAGATTTTTCTTTTACTAGTGTCTTACAGTCCATTAAAAGCTTTTTAAACTCTTGCAGGTACTTTTTTGATTTCTTTACTGTTGGGTGCAGGTGTTGGTTACCAGCACTGGAGCCACCACTCCTGTGAGTAGGAGCAGGGGTGAGACAACAGCATCAGCTGACCTGGAGGCTTTGAAACCTGTAAATCAGTACCAGAGTCACAACTCTAGCCCAGAGAGGGCAGGACCCACAACTTCTGCTGTCAGAATCCATTTGTGCTCAGGGACAGGAGTCACTTTGCCCTCTTATCCCAGGGGAGGTGTGGGAGCAGGGATACAGCCTTGGGGATGCTGTACCCATGTGAAATGAAGCTGAAGGACACAGGTCCCGGCTACTGAGGCTCCACAGCTAAGCAGCTCCAAGGGCAATGCAGGCTGGTAAATAACTGCATTTACCAACATCTGTCTGAACCTCACTATCTCTTTCAGGTTCTGGGGGTTCTCATTACTCTGTTCACAAGTTCTTAAACAAAAGTATAAAAACTGATTCAAATGGGCCCGTCCACTGAAAAATGTTTCAGTGCCCAGCAGTGCTGTACTGGGATTGGAGAGAGCTGATCCAAACCAATTTCACACCTACAGAGCTGCTGCCAGTGCAGCACTTGCTGCACAAGCAACAGCTTACTGAGCTAAGGAGGGAGATTAAATTTAACTGTTCTTGGCAACTCACACCTGAACCTGCCTTTCGCTCCCTGTGACAAACTCACTGCTTGTGGACATACAAGGCTTTCCTTTCAACCCCCACCCCAAAATCCACCTCTGTGCCACCCTGTCACCCGGTATGGGATAGCCCATGCACACATGGGCTTTGGCAGAGTTCAGATTCAGGTTTTTTTCCTAAATGCAAGTGGATCTCCTCCAAATGTCCATCCCATGTCTTTCCCCACTGCAACATACCACCCTACCAGCTGCTCCCACTAGACCTCAGCTGGTGGGAGTGCCCTTTCGTTCTTTCCCCACATCAAGCTCATGAGTACATCTGAGCACATCTGTGCTCTTCCATTATGAAGATGTGCCCATTCCAGTTCTGGCCACTGACCCATCTCTAAACAGTACCAGAGACAATTAGGGCCAAATCACAGGAAGAAATTAAACCAAAGCACAGACAGGCACAAGACCCTATTAGCAGAACAGATGTTGCCAGAACCACCCAGTGCCTTCAGCTTTCCAGGTACCCAGCTCCCCCGTGCTGCCTCAAAGCTGAGAGCGGTTACTCCGAGGATCCACAAGCACGCTTGGCCACCGCCCTCAACAGCTCCAGCACTGAGCAAGGAGCAGTGAAAGGCAGCTCCTGTACAGACAGAGGGTCAAGATAAGGGGAAAATCCAACCAAACCACACCCACCAAGGGCTGGCCTGTGCCAGGTGCAGGCACAAGGTTCTCCTGCCCACCTGTGAGACCAGCTTAGCCCACCAGAGCATTTCCTGCAGCACTTCATTGCACCAGAGCAACCAACAAAACCTCTCACTACTCCAGCTGCTATGATCCAGCTCAAAAAACCACTTCCTGTAGCCTCAGGTGAGCACAAGTTAAATTAAAATCAGAGCAAGGGCAAAGCAGGTGGGAGCAAAATCTGAGGGTGAAACACCAATAGCTTTTTGCAAAATAGTTTTAATTCTTGCATCCAAGGAAACAAAACCACATCTAGTTTTATATGCATTTAATAGTTTACCAATTGGTACAATAAGATTTTTTTAATATGCAGAAAACATGAATAAATTTTGTTTTACACAGTCTGAGAGCAACAAATCTTACTGTAAAACACAGAGCAGTATTATATACATTCCTTTACCGATTTTGTTTTGTGTCAATAGCTTCAATTAACTCCTACAGCCTGGGAACTGTTCTCTCCAATTGCAACCTCTAACAGCACTCGAACAAACATCTGACATTTGCCTTCACGTCGATGTCGGGATCGACTCTATAGCGTGAGGATTTTGCTAACTTCTCTTCAGAATGAACTCGGGGAAGCCTGAGGGACAGGCAGGACAGGAAAGCAGCTACTTATATGACACAGTGGAAAGATAAAAAGGCCAGTTAATGCCAGTTGTGACTTGCAAATCCAATGCGACCCCCCCCCACTCCCCCCCGTCCATCCCACCCCTCTATGCACGTGCTCTTGCTACAGGACTCTCGGTATTGATTTAATACACGGACGTTATATACAGCTGGACACAACAGCTCACTCCAAGGGCGCTTTTCCTTCACTCAACTCAGCATTTGCAATATTCAAATCATTAAAGGATTACCAAGCCACCACTGTCTACAAAAACAAAATATTTTTCCCTTTAAACAGCTCTCAGGGGAGTCACGAGCTGTCTAAGAGTGATTTCTCAGGCAGTTCACATGGACAGGAAGAGGCAGAGGAGAGGCAGGGACCCCATGCCCACAGTCCCCACTCACTACCACAACCAAGGGTTGTTTTCCTTTCCTCAGTGCCCTGGGCACACATTGGTCACACCACACACAAAAGCAGGATGGGTTTGTTTCACCTTCTAAAGTGCAAGATGGTACAAAACATCAACTTCTAGCTTCTACCTAAACCACAAAAGTGTTGCACTTTCTGGCCTGTGTGGCATGGCCCAGGCTAGGCTAAGTCAGGGATCTGCAGTGGCTCTGGTAACAGGCCAGAGCTGGGTCCTGACACATGCTGCCAGCTTTAGGCAGCAAGTGCCAAAGCACCAGTGAACCTCTCGCCCCCTCAGAAGCATTTAGTCCATTATCAACACAGTAACCTCACTGTTGCAGTTCTGATCACAGCAAAGGCACAGCAAAAGCTGACAGTAACAGTGGGGCCAGTTCCACAGCACGTCCCACAGTGTCCCACTCACTCCCATGCCTGTGGTGTGGCTCCCCTCCAACCAGGGCTTCAGCTTTGGTCCAGTCGGGACCATCCCTGAGATCATTCCCTGCTGCCCCAGAAGGCTCACTCTGCACAGCAGCAGTGTTGAGCCTCACACAGCAGTGACGTTGCTGCCAGCACTGGGCCTGGGTGTCCTGGTAAATGCTTCTTTGCTACAGGGAAAAAATGCAGTAGACAACTTCCACATCACAGGTACCTTTAATTTCTCATTCAGGTTTGAATTATGTACATGAGGGTGGTTTACTTTAGACTTAAATAAAGTTTCTAGGTCCTACCAGGAATTAAACAGATGTTATTACTTTCCAGTTGCAGATGCATGGAGGGATTTAAGATGCACTACTTCTGTATCTGGAATTCTCCAATAGGACAAAAAGCAGCAAATTTTTCCAGTCCAAGCAGCTAACAAACAAAACAGACTTTATTAGTGCATGCTTATGTAGCAACACACACTGAAAATGACAGAAATCACTGGATTTAAGAGATTAGCCTGGATCTTAAACTGGCTCTGAAAACCCCCACATCAGAACTCCACTTTCTCCACCGCTTCCCAGAGGATCCCACACCCCAATCCAGCTCTGCCCACAGAACAACGGGTCCTTCTGGGCTGACTGGGAGTTTCCCCCTCACCAGTGCAGTGTGTTTGCCCTCCAACCCACCCTATGCTGGTCAGAGACTCTCAGCTTTAAAAGGGACATTTTAAAAGCCATGGATTAAACCAAAGAAATAAAATAAAGCACAAATTCATCTGTTAAAACATCAGTCTTGTACTTCATTGTATTGTCAATTTTAAAGTTGATTTTTAAAAAGACCTGGTTAGTTTGATAAGTATTATAATTCTTGGTTATCCACAATGGAATCTGTCACAAAAATGCTGATTAAAATAATAATTTATAATATTTTCACTCATTTCAGATCAAAATATGTAACTTTAGGGATATGCAAATTAAAAATTGTGTACACCAAACAACATAAATACTAATAAGTGAGCTGGGCTGGTTTTGCTGATAGGATTTGGGTTTGGTTTTAATGTTTAGCATTAATTCCCACAGATCGGTGTGGGCTTTGTTCATCTTTCTTTGTTCATCTTTGGGCATCTTTCTTTTAGAAGCCTGCATGGATCTGACCTGCCATTGTCAGCTGATTCTCAAGATACTTAGTGCTTCCTTTAAAGCATTTCAGTGCTGCAGCCCAAGGTTTTTCTCCACCTGCAAACCCCAGGACGTTTTTACTGGAGCCACATTGCCAAGGTGAGGACCACCTCATTGTCCAAGGAGGCACTAAGGAAACCAAGAAACTTTTGTATACCCCCAATTTCCTGCCAGTGAATGAGGGAAGTGTCCTTTGATCCTGCTGTGTAATAGGAATTGCACATCTCTAACAAACATGGAAAGCAAACAGCAAGTTGGACCATGGCAGTCATTTGGGAGAGGAAGCTCTACTGGAAACTGGATCACTAAACTCTAGTGGGATGGACAACTCCTCCTGGAAGTTCGTCTAGCATAATAAAAAAACCAACCAAAAAACCATTTAAACTTAGTTTAACAGCACAGCTTAACCATTGAATGACCAAATAAAAAATAAATACATTTATCACATCAGCTGCGACTAAGATTTGTTGTCTTATTTCAGGTTTACAGTCAGTTCTATAAATATACCAACCCTTGCGCGATAGGAGGCCAAAACAAGTGTTTTCTGTTGATTTGGCAAATGTTTCATGACAAATATTCCAGAGTTTAATTAATTTCCATTAATTACATATAAGGTTCAGAAGATTCTGAATGCAGCCTTATTATCTAGTATTCTTAGAGAAGATTTATTAAGCACACTTAAGTGATGTTACATAGATACACATTTCTGAAAGAGCCCTACAAAACTTTTCCCAAATGAGGTCACCAACTCAGGCACCAACAGACAGCAGAAAGAAAAACAGGTATAATTATCCGACATAACGACACTGTCAACTATTCAGTTAAGTGCCCTATTCCAATCATCCCACTTCTGCCTTCTCAGGTCTGATGTGACCAATGCAAGCCCATGTTCTTAAACCTATGGTACTTCTAGACAACGTATGTAAATTTACAGTATACAATTTGGATTCACCATGCATGAATACTTTGTGTGTAACATTTAATAAGCTCAATCTACATCCAGA